CACACACACACAAACACACACAAACACACACACAAACACACACACAAACACACACACACACACACACACACACACACACACACACACACACACACACACACACACACACACACACACACACACACACACACACACACACACACACACACACACACACACACACACACACACACACACACACACACACACACACACACACACACACACACACACACACACACACACACACACACACACACACACACACACACACACACACATGCCCACACACGCCCACACACGCCCACACACGCCCACACGCGCGCACACACACACACACGCCCACACATGCCCACACACGCCCACACACGCCCACACACGCGCACACGCGCACACCCACCCACACACACACACACCCGCGCGCACACACGCACACACTTGCATTGTGGAGGCCTAAGATGACCATGTTGGCCTATGTGCCTGAATCGCTGGCTCTTTTCGGGCCATGCCGTTGTCATGAGCTGGACCGGAAAAGTAAAAGGCCCTTTAGGTTCGGTTAGACATGGCCTCATGGGCAGTCACACTGGCCAGCCTGGGTTGTTGACGGCTCGGGCGACTTGAGTTTGCGCTGCAAGATGTAGCGCAGCACGTCATTGCTGCGGCGTTGGGTGGCCCCTTCCCAATCCCAGGTTGCAAACCAAACGGTGCCGAGGTTCAGCTGGCGGTAGGCCAAGCTGTAGGACTGTGATGTCCAGCCAGCCAGTCCTGCCGAGAACAGGTTTCTACGCCTTTGCGCGGCCTCTAAGGCTTGTTCGCAAGACATGGAGTTCTTCGGGCGCTGGCCCGATGCATTTGGCAAAAACTGCCCACGCCTCTTACTCCCGGGAAGTGATAGGTTGATGTGCCGCAGCCGCCGGAAGCGGCGGCGGCTCCATGGCTCAATGCATCCCAAAAGTCATCCTGCTTGTGGAAGCGGCTGGTTTCTGGGAAGGCGCCGCCACAAAGTCCATGCCAAGGTCCTTGAGCAACCGGCACGTCAAATATGGCTTTGTGGGCCAGGTGGGCAGTGTGCGGGTCTGTGACGACAACACCTCCCTCACGGACATAAGCTTTCAGATGTCTTCCGTCCCACTCGCCACCAGTCCTGGTCCAAAGGCGACATGCAATGCAGCTGCTGGAAACCTGCCCCAACTCAAACATGCAATGGCTATGGTGAAACTTCTCCCCACCTCAGCAGGATGGCCTCCGTTGACGCATTGGGCCGGCACCCGGCTGCAGTTGGCATCCATGTTTGTAGCCTCTGCTAGGCAGCGGTGGAGGCTGATGCAGCATGAGGGGAGCGGGCTTGGCACAAATATGTGTCAAGGCACATATGACCTATGGCCCGCGCAAGTCCGCAAGCTCCATTGCTTCCAAGGCTCCAGGCAAGCACACTCTCACCCGGCTTGCACAGCAGCAAATGCCCACCTGTCAGCTGCAGCGCCAAGACAAGGCGCAGGTGAAACACGAAGACCATGGCTCCATGGGCTTTTCATTGGAAGGCAGATTCACAGCCGCCACGACGTCTCGTGCACATGAGTTGACGCTTTCTCCTCCGATGTTTGGACCTTCCAAGGCTTGGAGGCTTTGGGCCGCTGGATTGCCGGGTTCATGTACGGCACATGTTGTGTAATATGTGCTTCTCGGGCCCGGCGCGTTTGGCCTGAGCACAGCTGAGGACAATGTCTTTACACAGGAACAGTTTCTGTTGCTTGCAACAAGCAATTTGGAAACCGCAGCCATCATGTTTATAGTGTCCTGTGGGGGCCACTGGTCTCCTCGATAGAGCACGTGCCCCATGTTGGAAAGAAGCAGTTGCAAAAGTTAGTCTGGGGGAAATCAACTACAAAGCATACTCTGGTTTGCTCTCATTTTAAGCACAGTCAGCAAAGTGGAGGCCGCTCCCTGTGCATCTGGACCTCCCAACTCAATGACGGGCTCTTCACGCACATTTTGTGGCCCTAGCACCACATCGCCTGCCCTGCTGCTGGAAAGAATCCGACGCTCTCAAGCTTCACAGGCCTAGGGTTCCTTTCAGCCGGTCAGGGAAATTTGTTGCCACCGTGGGCCATGCAACCATGGCTTCCTGCAGCAGTCAGTAGTTTGCATTGACCTGGGATTAAAAGGCTGAAGAAATCGCCGCGGCGCCCTTGACTCGGCCGCTTTTGGCTGATTACTCTGACTCTACTTGGTGCTCGCTCAGCGCGCCAGTTGAACCAAGTCAAGGGAAACCCTGGAAACCCTCAGCCCGTTTAAGTTCATTGACACACAGCTTCTCAATCAGACATGAGAAGGCCGCATGTCGAGCGCCCAGTAGTTACCGCAACTCCAACCTCCCCTCCCCCCACCTGTCTTACTTGCTAACACCGCTTTAGTGATCTGAAGCTCCTTCAAAACTAAGGCTCTTCCACGCCTCAATCAAAGCACCTCTAGACTTACAACTCATGGTTTCTCCAAGGCGACCCCTTGCAAGGTGAGCTGTGCCGCATGGAGCTCTGCTCCACATGCATCTAATTCCGTCCAAGGAAGCACCGATTCCGGAATGGCAAACAGTGCCACAAATGCCGCAACACGCTTGTGCCAGAACTTAGTCCGCAGTGGTAATTGCACCTTGGGCGCCTGCTAGCAATGGGCCACACTAGTACTGAAGGGCTAGGTTCTGCGTCATTTTGAGTTGCCGGCTGCTCGCCCTGCGAAACATAAAGCCCAAACGAACTGAGCCCGTTCGACAGGATGTACATTTTAAATCAAGTAAGCTCCGGTTTTGTCTGGCTTGCGACCAAAATCCCCCAAGGAAGCTTCAACTGCCAAGCTGTCGCATGTGGGATTGCTGACGAGGTGCCTCCCTGTCTCTGGTCAATTGTTGCCTGCAGGGTTCTGATTATGTCTCAAGCCGCGCTGCTGCTGCGGCTCTTGCTGGATCAATGTGGGCACCACTACATGCATATTCAAAAGTCACTGAGCCCTTGATCTCGGACCCAGCAATAGCCACAAATCAGCGATTTTCGCACAGCTCAACCTGACTCCTACCTACACTGGCACGCCTTGCAATTCAACTGCCCGGGTGACTCATTTTGTATGCCGACGCGCTGGTAGCCGGACCGTTTTGCTCCGGATCCCGCGCTCAGCTCCTTCTGCCAATCTTTTGGGCGACCTCCTCGTCCGCAGCACAAACGCATGCTGCATGCCCTCAAACCGTCCAACGTGTGGCGTTGGCTCAAGTGGCTGATTTGCATGCGATCTTTTCCGCCCAAGGTGGTTCGAGCAACGCTCAGCAATTTTGAAACTCTTTCCCAGAACCAGTGGCATGTGCTCGCTGCTTCTCTCAGACTTGCTTAGACTTGGGCACCGAGAAATGAATGAGCCGCCAACATGCAGAGCCATGGACCAACTCCACCCGGCCAAAGGGGACGACTCGGAAACGGTGCGTGTCGAGGTGTCCTTGAGCCCCTGCGTCAGCGTCCGCAGCTGCCGCACCATCTTCCAGACCTTGGATTTCCAAACGCATCTCATGAGAGCAGCAAGCCTATCGTGGGAGCGCTCGCGCAAAAGGGCTCGCCATAAGGGAATAGCAAAAACAAATGCCGCGAGTGTCCTTACTTCCTTGCGGCAGAAGGCAGGGCCGCATCTGCTTCTTCGGAAAGACTTGCAGCCTTGCCCGAAAATTCACCCTTTCATTTCGATCTGGGCATGCGCGCGCTCGCAAAGGCATCTCATCAGCAGCCCCCTGCACAAATTGAGATGCACGAATTCTGCGGCTTCGGTACTGCGCATGGGGCGCTCTTTAATTGACGATTGACAGCAGGTGTGGCGCGCCAGCTTGGCTGAAGCTGTCCCAAAGCTTTCAAAGCAAGCCTGGTGGGGTCATCACACAGGCAAAGATCTCCGTGTTGGGCTGCACATCGAAGCCACCAAGAGAGCAACTGCCGGAATCGCCCAGCTGCTGAAAGACGGCTTTGGATCCCTGGCCGGTGTGGATCTGAAGACCAGCTTCAGGACTCAGCCTTAGGTGCAAAGTAGCCACAAGTGCGTGGCTTCGTTCACTTGCTTGACGTTGGAAGGGGAGCAAAGGCTTAAATTTTAGCAGTTAAGTGGGGATTTCCCACTAAACCACAATAGGCAAAAATGTAAAATGTTTCCCAACAACAACCATTCTACCATGTTCATGCCCAATCCCGAGTGCACCCTGCAGCCCGTTCCGCCGAGCATCCTGGACCGGTCCCGCCGTTTCGGCGGCAGCACCAGGTGGCAATAGAGCTTCAGGCGGCCGGCAAGTTTCGTACACACGCCGAAGTAAACCTGGGTCAAAGAGAAAGCCAGATCACCCGGGTTTCACTTTGAATCCGAGCTTCAAAAAGAAAGCCAGATCATCTAATTAGCGAGAAAGTTCCTGAAGTAACTGTCCAATTCCCACAAACAAGTGCCAATTCCGAGGAAGGAAGCCATCTTGCCGGGTATTTGTTGGTTGAAAGGGCACCGAATGGATGATGTGAGGTCCAGTTCGATATCGGTGTCGAGGCAACTGGAGTAAAGGTGAGCCCATGATCTTGGGATAGACGTTGTCACATCACTCTCTGCTATCCTCACTTCGAAGCCTCTACGGACAAAGTGTGGGGAGTCGGCCTGAGCTTCCCACCAGTCTAAAAGCAATCTATCTGGCACCAGTCCTTGCTGCCGAATACTGCACACTTGCAAGCTGGTCAAATCCCACTGGGGCAGAGTGGCAAAGAGCTTATTGCGCGCGCCCTCGTCGGCAAGTCCAGCGCGCTCAACTCGCCGCCTCTTGGGATTCCTCTCTGACACTTTGACACCGCACGTCGCTTTGTCCATCTCTCCTGCAACCTCTTTTTTACAAGGGTTGGTTTCGCAAAGAACATTGACAGCTAACCAGTACCTCGATATATCCCGATACACTTGTAAGGCAGGATGACCAACCAGTGCAGCCAGTACATCTTGATGAATGTCCTTGCGGTTTTCCACCAGCCAGGCTGGATCTTGCGCCAAGCGTAAAAGAACCACCTGCAGGGTGGATCTGTTGTTTGAAGCTTGCAACGCCAACAAGAAATCCAATTACACCCAACGACCGTAATGCAAGTACCCAACATAGCTAAAAGCATTGAGGCACACGCTGGACATCTTTGCCTGGACCCAGCTCTTGCAATGAAGTCTGCCCTCTATATATTTGTTGAGTATACAAGCTACAGTGGAGCAGTGAGAGAACACGCCCGAGACGCTTGCTTCGTGTGGGATGCTCTGTTGACACATGTCAAAGCCACTAAGCGTCAAACCCAGTCGCGCCTTCCAAAGCGCAGGCATGGTCTCCCTATAGAGAGCAGCTGCAAAGGTTAGAGTCGGCCAATCTGTGCAAGGCAAGGATGTGTCGATGGATGCTTGGAAGTCCTCGCAGCACACCGGGGCCAACTTGCACATCCCAATTCAGCAAATCAAAGAACATGCGCGCATTCCGAACATTGCTTCGGCAATGTGAGGAGGGAACGGAAGAAGGGGAGAAAGCAAAAAAAGCAAAGACAGCAGAGAAAGCAGAGAGAAAAGAGAGGAGAAGGGGAGACGGTGAGGTGAGAAGGAAAAACGAAGAAGCGGAGGGGAAGGAGGAGGAAGGGAGAGAAGAAGGGAAGAAGCAACGTGTTGTGTTTAAGCGCATGGGATGGGCTTGTAACCTCATCTTGCACCCACGTCCTCCACGGCCTTGTCCAGCGTGAGGAACTTCAATGCCACCAAAACATTGGCGGCAGCCTCCAACATTCGATTTGGCTCTATTCAAGCAATGCGCAACCCGGCAATGTGCGCGGATTAGCGAAAGCGGTTGTGGCGGGTAATTGCCTCATGACCTTCGATTGTTTTTCCACAAAATCGCAGGTGAGGCTTCTGCGGGCTTCGCAGTTAGGCTGTCAATCAACGAGAACGACATATGTTGACACAATCTTTCAGTTCAAGGAACGAAGAACACATGCAGCACGCTCCCGTGGAGCGGCCTGAGTAGTGCCACTTGAAACACCAGAAAAAACAATTCACACACACAAAGCAGCTGCTTTCAATGGAAACTGCTATTCTGCTCACAACGACTCACACGTGGCTCGGCTTCTGGTCGCTTCACTCGAATTTGGAACCTGGAGCCTCCAGGCTCTCGGCCTCTGGGAAGCGGCTGGTGTAGAGGTAGCCAAGGGCAGCCCCGAAGCCATCCTCTGTGAGGCCTGACCGCTACCATAGGCGGCTGGTTGACCTGCCTTCCTTAACGGAATGATCAAGGAAGAAGCGAATCCATGCTCGCGCCTTCACACAAATCGATCATTATCCTCAATCCATGCTTTACATGCCTGCGGCTGACGCCAGCCTTGCTGGCAGGTGAGCTTTATCTCCTGCACAGGGGTGGGAATAACAACTCCAAAACAGCCTTTCACAAGTGGACGCAGAGCAAATAATTTGCAGGTGTTCTGCCAGATATTGAATTGCAAATTATACTCTAAGGCCTGCTGCATAGAAGTACTTAGTACGGTTGGACATCACGTTTTTCCTACGGAGAAAAACAAAAAAAACAAAAAACAGCAGGAACAGACAGACAGATAGACAGACAGGCAGACAGACAGACAGACAGAAAGAAAGAACGAAAGAAAGAAAGAAAGAAATAAAGAAAGAAGGATAAAGAAAGAAAGAAGGAGAAAGAAAGACAGACAAACAGAAAGAAAGAAAGAAAGAAAGACAGACAGACAGAAAGAAAGAGTTTGAGAGAGAGAGAGCTACTAAGGAGCTACTACCACTGAATTTGTTTGAGAAGCTCTGGCGCGCACTTGCATTTCTGCACAAAGAAAAGGCATCATCTGAGCGTAGCTGGGGCTTGAGAGGGAGTGTGTTGCAAGGTGGGATGAAGTCTCGCCAGCGTTGCTGCGCATGCAAGGAACAGGCAATCAATGATTCAACGATTCGAAGAGTGGAGGGAGAAAACGTCACGTCGTGCCGTTTGAATGGAAGTGATGACGACTTTGCCCGTGGGGCGAAAGTAGGCCGCTCAAGTGCCAACTTGGTCCTCTTATACGTCGCAGGAGGAGAAGCACATACCCCCACCTTTAGTGGAAGTAACAAGGGTCGACTCGCATCGCTCAAATACATCTGAATCCTTCCAGGTGCATATTGCAAAGGCAAAATAAACAATTCGAGCCATGTGGCCTGCAACTTAATGCGTCCTGGTGCCGCGACTCGCTCCAGTTGCCGGTCAGCATCCGTCGGAAGAAAGCCGAGCGGGCGAGAACGTTCTTGTGCAGCTGCCATCGCTTCCCTTCCATCCACAGCACCACATCCGAGAAGGACCCGGTGTCCTAATTGCTGGTCCAACACCCCGGAGCTCATGAAATCACGCGCATACAAAGAAAGAAAGAAAGAACCACCAAACCAACCGACCAAACAACAACCCAACCACCCAAACAACTAAACACTTTAGTAGAGGGGACACCTGGGCCCCCACCCGGAAGAATTTTAGATCCGTCTTAGGAGTTCGGAGTCTGAGAACCTCCCGTAAAAAATTGCTCAAGTTTGCCGGGGCACTAGAAGCCACTGGTTGTGCCTTTCCAAGCTGGAGCCTTCGATCTCATTCTTTGCCATACGATGTTCTGAGTCCCCAACTTGGCGAGCAGCTTTTGGCAGTGTTTAGCTCACAAAACGCCCGTTCACAAACCTCGAAATCAAGCTGACCCACTTCTCAACTTGAGGATTGCGCTCAACGGTCAGTGACATGGCTTCTGTTTGCCAAAGGTCTTGCAAATCAAGGCTTGCTGCATTTCTTCCCTTGGTAGCTTTGCGGACCGTGACTGCACATGGAACAGCTGCATCTTCCTGATAGCTTGAACCAGAGCCTGCTTCCGTGAAAAACTCATACACATCGTTTTCCAGAACATTTCAAGGGGACTTTTTAGGTTTAGGCTTTGGAGGTGTGGATGCTTGTGGGCCATGAATACTAGCTTGGAAGGCAGCATGTGCCCCTTATATGGGTGGCATGTAACTTTCATACCTCCAAAACCCTTACCTGAAAATGCCCTTGAAGGGTTGGTGTTTTATCTGAAACAACCTGCAGACTTTTGCACGATGCACCTGGGTCGCAGCCAGCTGGCGTGACAGTCACTTGGCAGGGTCTCAGGTTCGCACAGTGGCATCCAGAGATCTGCGGTCTGCTGGGTCAAACTCAATCCTGTGGCGTTCGCTGGCTCGGCACTTTATGGATGCACATGCCCTTGGCAACCTTGATCCAGTCACGTTTCCCCTTTATGAAACACATCACGCCGCCACATTGAATTTGCGTTTTTGGCCAGCAAAGTCTCTGTCAATCGAGCGCAAGAAGCTGTGGCCAATACATGGAACCCAAAACAAGGCTTCAAAGCACTAGCTCTGGCCGCTGGCCAGCGTCGCTGGCATATCTCAAAGACCCATGACTCACCCATGCCTGCCATCTGTGTCACCGCTCCTGAGGGAGGTGCACGGCGATCGTCTCTTCCAAAACTCACACTGCGGCTCATGCTGACTTAGAATCTTGGCTGGCAAAAAAAGTCGTCGCTATTTCTGGTGCATGATGTTCTCGTCTACTTTTCGTGCCCGACCGAGAAGGGGCAGCCTATGCCCATGCCCGCTTGCAGCATGTTTGTACGAGCTTCTTCTCAGTTAGCAGCTCTGAGATCCAGCGCCAGCGCAAACAATCAGACATACAGGCACAACCTTTCACCTTGTCCACGAAACCCCGGCCTGCGTTTGGCCAACCAATGAATTCACGGTGGCGCCCACACCAGGGTAGCCACGCCAGAATGGCTCAAGGAGAAACAAAGTTTCGTCCGGAAAAAAAAAAAAAAAAAAAAAAACGCCTCTTGCAATTCACCGCTGGCTTCACATGTCCCACGTCGTCTCAACGTCATCCGGGCCTCGGCTGCTCATCCTGGCGCCCACGTGCAAGCGTGTCACTGAAGAGTTGATGCGGATCCCATCGCGTCGGCCATGAAGATCATTGAATCTTCACGTTTGTAGGGGATCTTTGGATTGCCCGTGCCAATTCAAAAGGCGGTCTTTGTCCCGCCTGAGGAAACTCCCTACGCAACGAAAGCTTAAAACTTTGTGTGAAGGCTGACCGACTGACCGCTGCCCAACATTCCGACCTCGGGAGGTGGGGGCTCTTTGCCACCTGAACCAGGACTCGGCCCACCAGAGCAGCTGAGGCTTGACTCGGCTCGATCATAGGTGTCCTTTCGGGAAAATAGAGGGCCCTGGTAGTTGATTGAACCACCAGGTAAACCAGGAATCGCCCTCCATTTTTCAACCAAATCAACCAACAAGGAAATCTATGGGCTCGATGCGAATCAAAAAAGAACTGACTCCAATCAAAATGTTCGCATGAAGGGCCAAGGCAAGTGCACCGTGCCACCGTGCCTGCGCGCATTTCTTTCAATGCCTCATACCGCTCCTCGAGGACCGGGCAAACAAGTCTCGACTGACGTAGGCCAACATGAACTTGTGATGACTTCTCCCTTCTCCCTAAGAATGAAGGTCACCCCTTTTCAAACATGTTACTCCATGTTTGTGGGACTCTTTTCCCGGTCCATTGGTGGGTTTGGATTGGATTAGGGTGGGCTTGGGGTTGGCTTGGGGCGGGTTAGGGTGGGTTTGGGGTTTGAATTAGGGTTGATGTGCTTAAGTTTAGGGTTGGTTAAGGGGTGGGTTTAACGCGAAGCGGGGCGTTCGGTGCAGGTTTCGGGTGCTTGCTTGCTTGCCCGCCTGCCTTCCGGGTGTCGGCGGAAAACCAACTCCTTGACATAAATAGCACAGGAAAATGAATCCGGCCTCGCCTTCTCTTCCGATGATTGATTGTCTGGTACACATATCAAGAAACATAGTGTGTGGGACGCTGTGCAGGCCTGTGTGTTTCAGTGAAATCTATGTTTCCCATAAACAAGGCAGCCGGCTGTCTCGCCGCGAAACTCTTGCAGATCTGAAAGTCACGTGTCTTGCAATTCCAAGGGGATTGTGTTTTTTCTTCCTTTTCATGATGCCTGGGGTGGGTGTGTTGGAAAAGTTTTGTTGTGTTGTGTTTCGGCTTGGAAGCAAACTGTCTCCCTTTCAGTGATGTAAACACCTGCACGGGCGCGCGCGTTTTTCAGCCTTTGCAGCTTTCTGCATTCGTCGACAATGTCTTAGTCTTTGGCGACTTTTTTCCCGAACGTACTTACAGCATCATTGCCGAGATAGCGATAGGGCTCCAGACTTGCAGCTCCACAACTTGACTGCGTACTGACAAAGGAGTGGCCACAGCTGCGCGAGGAGGCCTCAAGGTCTGCGGAGTGGAGAGAGCAGCAGCCATGGGCGCGTCGAGAGTTGGTGGAGCTGGCGAGACTGCAGAGAGCACTCGCAGAAAAAGTGTGTACTGAGCGGCCAAAAGGAAAACAAACCTGCAGGAGCGAGATGCAAGTTGATGGGCCAGCGCACGAAGCTACAGCAAGTGTAAGAGGGATGCGGACTCTGCCAGGGCAGAGAAGAGAAGGGCAATCTTCAATCAAAGCAACGCCTTGAACAAACTGAACCAAAGGGTCAGGGGAGAGGCAAGCTACGCCACCCAGCCGCGGATCAACGTTAGGAAGCGAGCCGGAGAAGGAGCGCGCGCACAACATGGGCCGAAAACTGCGAGCGTCAGGCGAACGTTTTTAGCACCCCCCCAACCCCCCCCCCACCCCCCCCTTCCTCCCCGAAATCACTCGAAAGACGCAGAGTGATGACAGTTCCACGGCGGCGAACCAGACGCTCTCCATAAACAAAACAGAGTGTTTTTCATGTAGTGGAGAGCATTTCAGTGTTCCATTGTTGTTCTTTGAACATAAGGTGTAAGTCTTTCTGGGGTGAACCATAGAAGATCTACTTAGCAACAAATGTGCAATACATTTATATGAATTTAAAAGTCCAAACATTTTGCCTACAATGATTCTCCTAACAAGTTACTAAAGTGCAGGAACTCAGGAAGTGAGACAAACCATCTTTACATCCGGGCCCACCCTAATTCGAATCACGTACGGCCGGGCCTACAGTTCAATTTCCAATTTTATGAAGCAACACAAAAGGTGTGAATTCGAAAAATCGACTTGCAACATTTGTCAGTATAAATCGCCTTCACTTTCAAGGCTGGAGGTTTTTTCGCCGAAGCGAGTCCGTGAGACCGAAGCGGCATCCCCTCCCCTAATCTGACTGGGGTTGGCGGGGAATCTGATCTAGCTAATTCTGTCCAATTCCAATTTTGTATTGGGGGGGGTTGGAGATTGGGGGTAATGGAAAATCATGGTAACCATTAGCGGGAGCATGTGTTGTGACTTACTAATGGGAGGAAACGGATTTAGGGTGCCTCTGAAGCCAATGCATGAGAGCTGCGGGCATTCTGCGATATGCATCGTGCCCTTTCCGTCCTTCATGTTCTGAAACCGCTGCTTGGCATGCACTGTGCCCCCGTTCCTGAAGTGTTGCCACTGCAAGTGCTTGACTCGGGCCACTCAAAAAATGCCAAAACCCTCCCTCCGCGGAGGCAAGCCTGCATGATCCCGCATGCTTATGCTTGCAGTCAGCAATGTAATTCAAACTCATAACAAATTAAGGGCAACACTGACAAGGCGTCGTGACATGGCAACTGCTCCTTGGCTTCCGGACTTGTCCGGGTGCATGGTCTTTGCCATTCGCCGGTAGGCATTGTCCAGCTCCTTCTCCGTGCAATCGGCAGACAAACCTGACATGCACAGGTTTTAGTCCAAAAGTTCGTATAATTGGGTGAAAGGGGTTCTTTTCTTTGACACAAGTTGTGTGCCTCCATTCACGCCTTTGGCCTTGGTTTCCAGCATGCATCGATCGATGAATTCTCTGCAGACTGAGGGCCGCCGACGAGCTTTGACCCTTTCGTCAAGCCGCCGATTACGTAATCTAAAATCATCGTGCTCTGCAGGCTGGGCAGCACCCTCGCCCACCCCACTGTTGCTTCAGGAAGGAATGGACTGGTCCTCAAATAATCCCAGTTGCAACACCCTTGCACATGGCCCAGTGGTCGTACAAAACTCACACCTCACGGTCATGTACCCAAGCCTGTGGGTCGCCATCCGGGAAAAAGCCCAGGTTTTCGGAATACCAACTCTCTGCCATCGTTCTTCCTGCGGTGTGCACCGTTCCTGTAACACCAGCATAGAGATTGATGCTAGCCCCCTCAGACCGATTCGTTGGCCAATCCAGGCCGTATGGCGCCATTGCTGGCAGCACACTTGCAGCCAGCGTTGTCGTGTTCAGGAAATGCCGCACCGTAAGATACGCCCGGCGGAGGTGATCCGGGTGCGCCAGCACCAGCAACCTTTGCGGCGAGAATTGGGCCACGCCACGCATCATGGACTCCAGGATCTGCACGGTGTTCATGTACTGCCCCGGCTTCCCTGCCGCGTGGACCTGGTGCTGCGGCAGCCTGGACTGCAGGGCTGCGGCGATCTCCCACTGGGCGAAGACCTCGGCCCCGGCGGAGGCCCCGGAGGCCCCGGCCGCGACGAAGTGCTCCACGGTGGCGGCCAGCAGTTCGTTGCTGGGCCCCGGCCGGGGGCAGTCGTGCAAACTCCGGCAGCTTCTTGTGGCGTCGAAGGAGAAGGCCAGCACTGCCGTCTTGAGCTGCGCGGTCGCTCGCGTCGCCGGCAGGTGCCAGGTGAGCATCGCGCGCAGCGCGCGCTGCGACGAGGCCTCCAGGCGAGCCAAGTCCAGGCCATGCGCTGCCAGCGCTGCGGACAGAGATGCAACAGACTCCCCGGCATCCACAGTCGTTGGGCCTAGGAATTGCACTGACTCAAGGTGTTGGAGTAGACCGGAAAATACGGTTTTGATGGGAGCTAACATGATGTTGCACAAATACAACTCTGGTGGACTCATTATGTTTATCATGCCAGGAAGGTGACCAAAACCCTTCACACGCCTGAACTGGCAATGTGGAAGAGCGACAAAGGCCCACGCGCGCTGAGGGAATAGTCCACCTGCCCGGACTTCCAGGTGGGCTGTATTCGCTCCAAGCGCTGCAGCAAGGTGCTTGGGCCTGGGACATCTCGCACCCAGCCGTGTGCGCTGGGGGAGAAGCCGCCGAAGAGCAGAATCTGTGCAGCCACGGCCTGGAAGAAGTGCCGCTTCGTCATGGAGCTGGGCACGAAAGCGTCAAGGTCCGGCGGAAGCACGAAAGCCTTCGGGCGGCTGCCTTTCAAATTGGGCGCCTGTGATGCCCGGGCAAAGGCTGGCCCTTGCCATTTGCAAATCATGAGCGTCGCCAGAGCAATCACTGCAAGTGAGCATCCCAATCTCATGCCGAGTGAGCCTTTTGGATGTCCACGGTCACTGTCAGATCCGGAATCCGAGGCCATGGCAGCATTGGCACGAAATCGGATGTGCGAATGTCAGTAACGCGTGCAGCTGAACACAAAAAGAAGAACTTACATAAGGTTCTCTCGTGATGCTTGTGTGTTCGATGGCACTAAAAAAGCTCGGCATTTTGTTGCTAGTTCAAAACCACTTGGCCAAACAAGTGATCACAGCTACCAAGGCCATTCTATGTCTGAGAGGTCTTCTCACAAATGTGTCAAACGGAGATGTATCTCCGTTTCTTTAAGGAGCCAAAGCCGTGCACTTTGAAACCAAACGGAAGGACCTGGGAAATCGAAGGCCAATCGCACCTGCCCTAATCTGCTGATCAGCATCTGGTGGACTGAGAACGGAACAAGCGCACAATCACGTCATGCCCACATCTAGTGCGGATTCATCGGCACATGTATGCTCAGTTTCTTGGAATGATGTTTGTGCATCCGTGTCACGTTCTACATCCGGGCATCCCCGTCTCAATTGCACAATGCGCCAAAGTTGCAACATAGACATTGCACTTGCCTGCGGCCTCTGTGACAGGACCACGCTTGTGTATGGCAAGGTTCCGTTCTGCCTGTTGGCTTTGTGATGCATTTGTAGCACATTAGTCGACCCTCAACGTTTCACTCACGTCGAGAAGAACACTCCAAAGATCGACTAGCATGCAAGGTGACAACAGGATGAACAAGAACCCTGACCCCAAGCGGAAAACGGAATGGACAACATGACTGTGAAGGTGCAAGTAGCTTCGCAAATGTTGCTGGGGGAAGCCAACTTTGATATTTTTTGGCGGAGAAATACATGGAGCCCGGACACCCGGCTCCAACCTGCCCAGAAACGGCACGGGATTGCAAAAGTCCAATGTGAGTGTGTGTGTGCGTGTGTGTGTGTGTGTGTGTGTGTGTGTGTGTGTGTGTCTGTGTCTGTGTCTGTGTCTGTGTCTGTGTCTGTGTCTGTGTCTGTGTCTGTGTCTGTGTGTGTGTGTGTGTGTGTCTGTGTGTGTCTGTGTCTGTGTCTGTGTCTGTGTCTGTGTCTGTGTCTGTGTCTGTGTCTGTGTCTGTGTCTGTGTCTGTGTCTGTGTCTGTGTCTGTGTCTGTGTCTGTGTCTGTGTCTGTGTCTGTGTCTGTGTCTGTGTCTGTGTCTGTGTCTGTGTCTGTGTCTGTGTCTGTGTCTGTGGGTGTGGGTGTGTGTGTGCGCGTGTGCGTGCGAATTTGTTTATAGGCACCTCCAGTTGTTTTGGCAGCGGCAAAAAAGCCGCACAAGAGGAAAACCCCGCTTGAGCAAACGACCTGCGCAGCCCCCCCGCCCCTCAAACTGGAGCCAGTCGCACCAAAGAAGCTGTAGCCCGCCGTGCTGGACAAGCTTTCCAACACGCCCTGCCAACGCCAAGGGAGACATTTGTCTGCCGAGCTGTGCTGTTCACCGCACTTGGCGGGTGGCGTATGCATTTAAGGCTTGTTTGAATCCGCAAGGTGGATCAGCTGCTGCTTAATTGAGGAAGCTAACATGTCCTGTTGACGCCTTGCCTGCTGGCGCTGATACAGCTGAGAGCTTTGAAGAAGACGTTCTCAGTCGCGTCGAAACCAAAGCTGCAAGCAAGCCCTGAACTCTGAAGGTACTGATGCATGGCAACCATGGGCCAGCCAGTACTTTGTTTTACTGCATGCACGAATTCCAATAGTTGTGTCTAATCCGACTCCTGGTCCCAACTTGCCATGTCGTTTGGATTTTGTTCGGCATGCGCATTGATTCCACAAGGTATACTTGTAGAATTGCATCACCTCCCATGGTGACTGGGCAGAACCGGTTTCCGGCATGCTTTTTATCTGCTTTGCATGTTCAATATGCATAGCTGGCAGAGACAGGCCGCAATAGTGATTGCCTGTTCAACACTGCTCTAGACCTTTGGTGCTGCAGCAATTGCTTTTGCATTGCCTCCTTGTACCCGTCGCCGTCACAGAAAGGAGTGTGTGCCATGTGCCACTATCTGTTGTCCCCCTGTGAAAAGTAAGCAGGCACAACGCCCTGTCGTGCATGGCGTGCCCATGTCAAACACCTGGGAGAGTGACTATCGTATCAAGTGCCAAGCTCTGCTGCCGGATGCCGCCCAAGTGGCGCCCCAGCTCATGCACCAGACCACGGAGGTCGCGATCCGAGAGGCCCTCGAGCCAGCGCCTCACGAGGCCGGCACTCCGTCCGAAACCCGGGAAAATGGCCTCGCCTAGTGCGCTCCTCTTCTGAGTTGAGGATGGACTCCACCTCCAAAATCCCAAAGTTCCATGCCGGGGCTATAACTTGTCACGAGGCAAGCGGGTATCTCGCCAAGCCATTTCAGTGTTAAGTTGGCCAATCCTCGACATGAAACCGGCATGGCTTTAGATAACTGGCAGGCACCAAGCGTTTCGCAATGCACTGCCAAGCTCATCTTCCAATGCTTGCTCCTCAGGCCCGAATCGAGGCAGCCGGCCGTGCGCTCGCCGAAGGTATGCAAAGAGCCATCCTCGTTGCAAACGATGTGGCGCCTGCAGTACAAACGCAAGGGCTAGGGCTATCTGGCGAGATTTGCTGGGCAAGCAGCCAAGCAGGAAGTAACTGTGGAGAATGCGCAAACGCACGGCAATAGTTTATTCTGGATAAAACTGCCCATATAAGTGCATAGCCTGTGCAAATGTCCCCTTCGCACCCACTTTTGTGCCCACAATCTTGCCCCCACCGGCACAAGCCTCAAGCAAAGCCTCGAGGCCAAACAGACTATGCACGCAGTCAAATCACCATTGTTGCCTATGTGCTGTTTACTCGAGCGGGATTGAGGGAGGTCCACCTAGGCATCGGAAGAACATGTGCAATGGACCAACCATTGCCTGCCGTATACCACGAATTGGCCCCCAAAATGGACAACGGCGAGGGTACTGCATAGTGCACCCGCAGGAGGCACACGTCAACACGCTCCTACAAAGTCAAATGAACTTGCTTTTTTGTTGCATCACTTACTGAGGGTGATGGGTCCCGCAAATGCCCACCGACCCGCAGGAATGGCAAACACAACCCTCAATGCTTTGCTGTGCTACTGGAACAGCCAGCCTCTAACAGTAGGAAGCAATGAATAAGAACATCTCTTGCAAAAACAGCGTGGCAAGTGCTGCAAAGCTGTCAGGGCTACCCCCAACTTTGTTGAGCAGCCTACAGCTGCTGTTGCGACAGCATTGCACTGAACGCAAAAGAACACGGTTGCGATCGATCACTGCAAACGAAAGCAGGCGACCGATGGAAAGCCAAGCTTTCATGCTCAGGAAGTGGCGATTGGCCTGATGCCGCGTCCACCTCGCAACATAACAGCAAAGAGACGGCGACCGTGGGAATGGCAACAGGACACGTCCCTTCAAGCTGAGGAGGGGACATGGCGAAGGATGATGGGCTGGCCACGCCTCCGAAAGGTCTGGCAATGGGATGACCGAGCGCAAGATCCACGGGATGCAAGTCGGAATGGGGGATGGGGCACCTCTGGGCCCTAAAAAGCCAAATTGAAAACATGGGGACCTGAGAAAACCTCAAGTTGGAAGGCAAAGAAGCTACACATCCGGCTTTGGGTTCCGAAGGCCGGTGGAAGGCTTCTTGGGCAATTAGCAAACATCTTGTCTGAACTGGGGCTAAACATGCTACAAAAAGCAAGCCCAAACCTGGATACACTGTAGCTTGATCGTGAAGGGGTATCCAACTGGCCGAAACGCGCGCGACACCTTCTGGGCACCCGACGCATCAAAAGCGATCGGCTCTCCTGGCAGAACTTCCGGCATGGCCTGCAGGGTCAGCGTGCCCAAGGCGCAGTGATTCATGACGTACAATTCCTCTTTGAATTTGCTGGACGAAAGCAACTGGGTGTGCCTAAAAGCCAGGGGGCCGCAGGTTTTAGTCACACTTTTCCTCTGCCAGGGTCCATTTCCCGGCCCAATCTTTGAGCAGGCTTTACCACATTGAGCAGCTGTTCTTTTTCTCCTGCCCCCGCCGTCCCAGTCCGCCGAGTACTGCTTTCAGCAGGTAACATGGTATCTGTACAAAGGACAGGCTCTATTCCTGCCAGCCTTGAACTTGTTAAAAGCTCAGGTGCTGAAAGGGAACTAAGCTCCTTGCACTCAAGGCAAAGCTTCCCCTTGGTTCCTGGTGCCTACATCGGCAACAGAGCTTGGACGAAGCAGTGCGGCCTTGCAGCCCGCTATGGCAAGCGGAAAGCCATCGTGCAAACCATCGCAATAAGAAGCGTTGCCAGAAACATCGCCAATGCCGCACGCCAAGTGCAGCTTCTTCCAACCTCTGCCTCCTCAAGCATCGGAGCCTGCAACAAGGGCAACGGCCAGGCAAGTCTGGGCGCTGTGGGAAGCAAGTGCCACTACCATCACACCCTCTTGATGAGCTGTTTCTGCGCTCATTCTGTTGACCATGCTCAACTCACCGGCAAAGCAGCCCCAATGTCTGGAACGCCGAAACTACGGACATCAAATCAACGACTCCCTTTGTTTCCACTAGTCGCACGCAATTGCCGCCGGCCATCCGTGGGGATCGCCAACCTCCCGACTCAGCTCTCGCCTGCTGCTGCATCGCCACTTCGCGTCCGCAACCTATGCGACGCCAGGCCCACAGGGAGACGTGTGCCGGCCTGGCTCGGACGAAGCCACATCCGCCAATGCAACACATGGACGGCGTGCCTGCGTGTTGGCAGGCATGCAAGCAAATTTGTTCATTTGCATGAAGAGGTTGCGCCCAAGTAATGAAACGCAAAGGCAAATGCACGACATGCATGTGTGAGGCAAGGCAACGTAACGCAATGACATACGCGCTCGCCGCCCTCCAGGGACTCCACCAGTGCGCTGACTCAAATGGATTTGCCCTGATCTCAACGCAACCTGGCTTTGTGCAGTCTGTCCTGTCAGCATCCTTTGCGCACGTCTTGTGCAAGCGTTCTCTTTGCGAGTAAAGTCTGTGAGAGTCTGCTTCTCAAGTACTTGAGGGCGGGCTCTGTGCTAAATGTTCTGTACAAGATGCCATGTGTTGCCTGGAAGTTCTCTCTGTGCCAGAAATCTCTGTGCGACATGTATGTTGGGAAGTAAGCTCCATGAAAGTTTTATGTAATTGCGCCTTTCTTCGGAGCAGCGCAGAAATCGTTCTAGATACGTGTATGATTTACCCAGTTCCCTTAGCAGGTGAGCTGCGCGCAAATGGTTCACTGTGTGGAACTGTGCAAGTTTCCTCTGTGCGAGTTACTTTGCCTGCGACCTTGGTCTGGGCGTGGCGCCTGTGTCAAAGGGTCGCACCCCCGTCAAGAACCCTTCATCTTTGGGGAAACTGCGACTTTCGAGCTGGAGTTGTGTTTGTGAGTACGACTTACCCCCCGTGAAAGGCCAGTGTCCCAAGCAGGCCGAAGCAAAATAAATAGTGGGGATTCGAGTGCGGGGCCACCCGACCCCAAAAGCAAGTGCGAAGACAAGACGTCATTAAAGAGCTTTCGAAGAGAGAGCTTGCACCAACTAACTTGCCAGAAGCTTGCTTGTGAGAGAACATACGCGTGGATAATCCCTTCCCCCTAATGCTAACCGTTCCCCTAATACTAAAAACGACTTTTGAAAGTCCAAAATCTGGAATACTGCTAGCCAAATACTAGCCAATACTAAACCAAGTCTAAAGTAGGTTTTCCAGCCTATTAGGGGACGCGGGAGTGCGGTTTCTTTACTACGGCTGTACTACAAAGTTGCGACTTTCGAGCCGGAGCTCCCGGAACACGGCGGCCCCGAATGGTACATTCAGCATTAGGGGGTAGGGATTAAACGTCCGCAAACCTATGTTTGCAAAGAAGCTTGTGTCTGTGCAAGTGGCAGTGCTCTCAAAAGGAAGTAGCAGTCCAAAAACAAGGCAAAGCAAGGCTAAGGTATAGATTGCCTGGTGTCATGTTGTGTGTGTGTGCGAATATGGAGCTGTGGATTTGGCTCAAATTGTTCAATACTTGGTGTCACAACATGTTGTGTTCTGGCAGCAATATGGATATTGTTGCCTGACAGGCCTCACTGAGTGGTTGAATTATGTACTTCAAGTTTTCCCGTCACTTCAACTTGTAAATTCTCAAAAAGAAGAAACCAAAGAGAGCTTGGAAACAATATCAAACAACAAGTCTATTAGTTTCTGGGTGGTTGCATTCTCACAATCCATGACCCAGCAACCCCCCATCCCCGAAATTCTTAGTTAAGCAAGGAGTTGAAACTTTAAGGAACAGCCCACCTAATTAAACCCCTTTTCCACTCCCTTTTCCGCTTTTGCCCGCGCTGTCGGCCGCGGCGGCTGCGCGGCGGCTGCGCCATTGGCGCTGGGCCGATGGCCTGCAGGCAACGAGCGAGGGGCAAGTGTGGAGGGAAGCAAAAGGGGGATGGATCAACCAGTTGAAACAAGCACCAACACTGTTGCCAACACTCCCTTTCCAAGATGTAGCAAGTTGTTTTACACAAATATGATGTTTTCAATCTCATCTTCAAAACGGGACATTGATAATAGTGCCCCCTAACTCATCATGATGAGGGGTAGTTTTTGTTTCAGGGGGGGGGTATTACTGGCAAGGTGGGTATCCAAGAACATGCTTCCGCAGTTTGGGGGACACCCTGCCACAGCCGCGCCCTATGATTTTTCCTTTTCACAAGGCCTGTTTATTCAGGCGATTGGGTGAGACACGGCGACAAGCTGCTTATGCGTGCTGTGTGTGTGTGTGGGGCCGTGTTTGCATGGAAGGGGTCATGTGCGGGCAGGTGCGGATTGGATTGTTGTGTTGTGGCTTTATGGCTAGATGTTGTTTGTGAGTGTGTTGCTCCGTGTAGCTGCCCTGCATGTCGCCGCGCCCTATGTAGAAGAAAAGGCCATCTCAGCGAGCTCCTGGTCGGCGCAAACGTCTCAAAGTGGTCATTTAATTTTCATTGGTTCATGGAGGGCGATGTCAAGTTCTCATGAAGTCTCATAGGGTCAGCCAAACACATCCATTATCTTAAGAATAGTTTTCTACTTTTCCCTCTTGGTTTTAAAGGGAATCTATGGACATGTTTTCCAAGGGGCCCAAACTAAATGGAAGAACACGTTGATGAGCTAAAGACAACTATGCAAAAACCGCCCAGACCTATGACAGGGAGTTTGGACTAATAAAGCCATCTTTCAATTTAGTTTCTCTTAGTGGCAACTATTCGATTCTTAGCAACACAGTTTGTCACCCGGGTCCTTCCTCCACCTCCACCTCTTCCACATCGGTTGAGACCGAGGGCGACTCATACACGCTCCTCCTTTTGGCTTTGCTTTCTTTGGGCCTGGCCTTTGTCTTGATCTTCGGCGTCTTTGCCGCCTTGGCCGCCTTGGCCGCCTTGGCCGCCTTGGCATCGGCTGGCGGCCGCGCCTTAGCCGGAATCCTGCCCTGCGGCGGCCCTCGCAGTGCCGCCGCCGTGCGCGGGGCAGACCTTGTGTCGGGCATGTTGGGCCGTGGGGGCACATGCACCGGCGCTGCAGGCGGTGGTGTTGACGGCGGCCGCGGTGTGAGGAAGGGCTTACCATGTGGTGGCTGCTGGGGCGGCCTGGGTCGTGGCTGACGGTGCGCCGGGGGCTGCGCCGGGGGCTGCGCCGGGTGTGCCGGGAGGCGAGGCTGCGGCGGGCGGGGTGCCGGGTTTGCCGGCTGATGCTGCGGCCTTGGCTGCGCCGGGTGCTGCGCCGGGTGCTGATGCGGCACCGAGGGATGCACCGCCGAGGGATGCACCGCAGGGGGTGCCGGGTGTGGATGCTTCGGCGGGGGCTGCGCCGCGTGCTGATGCTGCGGCGGGGGCTGCGCTGGGAGCTGATGCTGCACCAAGGGATGCCCCGGGGCTGGCGCCGGGTGTTGATGCCGGGGTTGCGTCGGGGGCTGATGCCGCCGCGCGGGCTGCGCCGGGTGTGCATGTTTCGGCGGGGGCGCTGCTGGCTGATGCTGCTGCGCAGGCTGCGCCGGAGAGGGTTGGGGCACTGGCCGCCGATGTTGCGGCTGTGGCTGATGCTGCTGCTGCAAATGTTGGGCTTCATGATGCGCTGGATGTTGGTCCGGGGGCCGCTGTGCCGGGGGCTGTGCCGGGGGTGCCGGGGGTGCCGGGCGCTGCTGCGCCGGGTGATGCTGCGCTGGGTGTGCCAGTGCCGGGGGCTGCTGTGCCGGCTGCTGCGCCGGGTGATGCGATGCTGGGCGCGCCAGTGCCGGGGGCTGCTCTGCCAGGGGCTGCTCTGCCAGGGGCTGCTCTGCCAGGGGCTGCTCTGCCGGGTGATGCTGTGCCGGGTGATGCTGTGCCGGGTGATGCTGTGCTGGGTGCGCCAGTGCCGGGGGCTGCTCTGCCGGGTGCTGCTGTGCAGGGCGATGCTGTGCTGGGTGATGCTGTGCCAGTGCCGGGGGCTGCTCTGCCGGGTGCTGCTGTGCAGGGTGATGCTGTGCTGGGTGATGCTGTGCCAGTGCCGGGGGCTGCTCTGCCGGGTGCTGCTGTGCTGGGTGATGCTGTGCTGGGTGATGCTGTTCTCCGGGTGGTGGTGCGTGATGCTGGGTGGTGCTGGGCTGGTGGAGCTGATGCTCCTGAAGTGGCTGGTGTGCCTGGGGCTGATGATGGGGATGTTGGGCATGCGTTGGGGGATGGTGCGCCGCGGTGGTAGCTGCTGCTGCTGCTGTGTTGGCAGGCTGGGGCCACGCCGGCGGTGCAACAGCTTGCTCCAGAATGGAGAGGGTTGCCATGGCGATCTGAAAAGCCAGTGGCCAGAGGACCGGCATTGGTGAGGCCGTGGGTGGCAGGGTTCCTGCTGGCGGTGGCGCTGCTGCTGCTTGTTGTGGGGCTGCTGCTGTCAGAGGTGTGGGCGCTGGCTGTGGGGCCACTGGCGTGGGCGGGGCTGTGCCTGGCGGGGCTGTGCCTGGCGGGGCTGTGCCTGCCGGCGCTGCTGGCTGTGGGGCCGCTGGCGTGGGTGCACCGCAGCCGCTGAGCGACTACGAGTCGGACTCGGACCTCCTGTCAAGCTCAGAGGGCGAGCCGACAGAGGTGGCAAGCTCAGACGAGTCAGAGCGAGCAGCTGCCAAGCCAAGCAAAAAAGCCAGGCGCCAGCCAGCAGCAGCAGCCAGGCCGGCAGGCACAGCCCCGGAAGGCACCCTGCCACCCACGGGCACAGCCCCACAGCCAGGCACAGCCCTGCCACCCACGGTGGGCACAGCCCGGCAGCAGCAGCGGCCCCACAGCCAGCAGTGCTGGCAGGCACAACCCTGCCACCCACGGCAGCCGCGGCCCCACAGCCAGCAGCGCCGGCAGGCACAGCCCCGCTGGCCCCAGCCATTGCCTGGGCCGGCAGCTCCTGCTTTGTGGCCGGTTCCGGCTGTGGCCCTTGCGGCTGTGGCCCTTGGGCCGGCTGTGGCTCTTGGGCCTGCTGTGGCTCTTGGGCCTGCTGTGGCTCTTGGGCCGGCTGGGGCGGTTGGCCCGGTTGGCCCGGTTGGCCCGGTTGTGGCTGTTGGGCCGGCTGGGGCGGTTGGCCCGGTTGTGGCTCTTGGGCCGGCTGTGGCTCTTGGGCCTGCTGTGGCTCTTGGGCCTGCTGTGGCTCTTGGGCCGGCTGGGGCGCTTGGGCCGGTTGTTGGGCCGGCTGGGGCGG